TATTTACACCAAACAAATTAGTGGTAATATAATTTTCATTCAGAAATTGCTAGTAAATTTCACAAATAATTACAATGAAATGGCATAACACATTTTTAAGTAGAAAGAGTAGTATTTTTTGTAAAAAAAAAAAAACTACAGCATTGTTTTATATATATATATATATCTTAGTTGACAAGGAAACATTTAAAATCTTAATTTAAGTTTTTTTAAGTTGTGGCGTTTGTTTTTCATCTAATATGTTTATTTTATGTTATATATCATCTAAATTACCGAAAATTATTTGTAATATTTTTAGTTTTAGTTTCTATGTATCTATGGATGGATGGATAGATATATAATATCTTGATGGCAACAAGCTTTTCCAGGTTCTCCTCCTGAAAATCAGGATGTGCACCACAATGGTTAACAGTAGGGGTGGTGCTGCTTTGGTGTTGTGCAATAATTTGTTTGTGCCAAATGCAATTGCTTTCAAGCCAATGAGTTCAGCTTTAGTCTCATGAAAGTCTCAGTTTTCTTCCAAATTGCTTTAGTGGCTTTCCAAAGAAGATGATTCTGTGAAGCTCTGAAGTGTCCACTGTCCAGATGTCATTTTCTCCCATTAAAATTGATGTTGTGTGATTTTTGTAGCATCTGTATTTTTCCCAAACCTTTCCAACATTCTCTTTCTAACAGCCACTGTTTTAGTTATGAGAGAGTGATATTTACTGTACTCGTGAATTGAGCATAGGTTGATCTTGAAATGAACACCCAGGTGTACCTTGTTAACATCTTTAGTGTGACTTCCCATGATAATTGATTTCTTCACCCAATTTAGGTTGATAAAACACAGCGGGATGAATACTTTTCAATTAAGCCACTTTTGTTTTTCAATTGTAGTTAATTCTTAAGATCATTACCCTTTTTTCGCTTTAAACATTTTTAAAAGAGGGGGGAAATCTAATGTAAATACACTTTAATTTGTCTGCGTAAGAGAACAATGGCATGCTTGCATTGACAAAATAAACTGTGACTAGCTTGTAAATTATCACATTATTTTTCTTGGGACCCTGGATGGAAAAAAAAGTTGTATATTCCTCATCCTTTCTGACATAAATGATATAATTATTTTATTTAATTTGTATTATTTTATAATTAATTAATTAATTTCCCCCTTGCAGATCTATTGGACACAAAAAGTAAAAATAGCTAATTTCTCAAGTCAGATGATCAGGTAAGCAATATATTGGCCATTACTGAGACTAAATCAGTGTTTTCTTTTCTCTTATTTTTAAATGCTGAGTAGGTTGCCGATCATAAAAAACGACTTAAGTCACTTAACTGCCTTGAATTGACAGCTTTTGTGTTTTAACAGCCCAGGCTATTACTTAGTTATAATAACCTTACAAATATTAACAATAAGAACTTTTATCTGTTTTTTCAATATCAAACAAAGAAATACTGACATACATAACATAATAAGCTAATAATATGATTTATTATATTAGACATTAATGTTTAAGGCAGTGTAAAACACTGGGTTTTATGGTGCGCATGCGCACTCCCATGCTCTAGATGGCGCCATTGCGCCTCAAAAGAAAGCATCACGCCAACTCTAACAAAAAATGCTAGTCAAAAGTGTAGTCTATTGTAATTCAGTTTGTAATAAAAAGTAGTATTTATATATATATATATATATATATATATATATATATAGCTAAAACATGATATATGACTGCTTGAGTTTATGCTGATTACTGAAAATATACTGCGTTTTGATATAATTTGTGGATTCACACACAATGATACAGTCTGAATAGTGACCAAAAATATTAAAATAACTACAAGGCCACATGTCATTAGATAATTTCGCAAATAATCTCGGCCTGAAATCTGTTTTCCTCTCTCACTCCTCTCTCTCTCTGTCTGGCTCTACACAAATAACACTCTTT